CATTTCTGTTACCACTTAAAATCGCAAAGCTGAAATAAACACCCGTTCCACAATCTAGCTGAACCATTTGATATAGAAAGCAGCCAAAAAAAACAGCAGTCGATGCGCCCTAAACCCCAAATCATCATCATCATCAACCAAAAAAGTACTTTTGCGGATGCGTTATCATTTTCGCCCACCCGTTGGCCGCAATTTAGTGTTAGCCGCTGGGCCAACGCTACACGACCTACAGAGACTGTAATGCCCGGCGACAATATTTTTGTGGCTAACGTTTGTGAGTGTGCATACTAAAAATCGTATTACATAATCCTTATTACTAATCGATTCATACCAAATGTTCAAAATGTATAGACAAACATGGTTTGGCCATGCTAATATTTCGCCCCACTTAATTTATAACTTGCATTCGCGAAGTGCTTAATATTGCTGTAGATCTCAGCTCAAAATTCTGGCGAGACTTTTGAGTTTTCTCCGTTACAAAAAAAAATACTTAATCATTATGAAGTGACGAGCGCCGGTGACCTATTTCATGCAGTTGTTTAACGCAATATTCCTTCAGTGTGTGTGTGTGTGTGTGTGTGTGTGTGTGTGTGTGTGTGTGTGTGTGTGTGTGTGTGTGTGTGTGTGTGTGTGTGTGTGTGTGTGTGGTGTGGTGTGTTGTGTGTTGGGGTGTGTGTGTAGTTGTAGTGTGGTGTGTGTGTGTGTGTGTGTGTGGTGTGTGTGTAGTGTGTGTGTAGTGTGTGTGTGTTAGTGGTAGTGTGTAGTGTGTGAGTGTGTGGGTGTGTAGTGTGTGTGTGTGTTGTGTGTGTGTGTGGGTGTGTGTTGTGTGTGTGTGTGTGTGTATGTGTGTGGGGGTGATAGGATGTGTGTGGTGTGTGTGTGTGTGTGTGTGGGTCGCACCGAAGTGGTGTGTGTTGTGTGGTTGTGTGTGTGTGTTGTAATGTGTGGTGTGTGTGTAGTGTGTAGTGTGTGTGTGTGTTGTGTAGGTGTGTGTGTGGTGTGTGTTTGTGTGTGTTGTGTGTGTGTGTGTGTGTGTGTGTGTGTGTGTGTGTGTGTGTGGTGTGGTGTGTGTGTGTGTGGGTGTGTGTGTGGTGGTGTGTGGTGTGTGTGTGTGTGTGTGTGTGTGTGTTTGTGTTTGGTGTGTGTGTGTGTGTGTGTGTGTGTGTGTTGTGTGTGTGGTGTGTGGTGTGTGTGTGTGTGTGTGTGTTTTGTGTGTGTGTGTGTGTGTGTGGTGGTGGTGTGTGTGTGTGTGTGGTGGTGTGGTGTGTGTGTGTGTGTGTGTGTGTGTGTGTGTTTTGTGTTTGTGTGTGTGTGTTGTGTGGTGTGTGTGTGTGTGTGTGTGTGTGTGTGTGTGTGGGTGTGCTGTGTGTGTGTGTGTGTGTGTGTGTGTGTGTGTGTGTGGTGTGTGTGGTGTGTGTGGTTGTGGTGGTGTGTGTGTGTGTGTGTGTGTGTGTGTGTGTGTGTGGTGGTGTGTGTGTGGTGTGTGTGTGTGTGTGTGTGTGTGTTGTGTGTGTGTGTGTGTTGTGTGTGTGTGTGTGTGTGTGTGTGTGTTGTGTGTGTGTGTGTGTGTGTGTGTGTGTGTGTGTGTGTGCTGTGTGTGTGTGTGTGTGTGTGTGTGTGTGTGTGTGTGTGTGTGTGTGTGTGTGTGTGTGTGTGTGTGTGGTGTGTGTGTGTGTGTGTGTGTGTGTGTGTGTGTGTGTGTGTGTGTGTGTGTGTGTGTGTGTGTGTGTGTGTGTGTGTGTTGTGTGTGTGTGTGTGTGTGTGTGTGTGTGTGTTGTGTGTGTGTGTGTGTGTGTGTGGTGTGTGTGTGTGTGTGTGTGTGTGTGTGTGTGTGTGTGTGTGTGTGTGTGGTTGTGTGTGTGTGTGTGTGTGTGTGTGTGTGTGTGTGTGTGTGTGTGTGTGTGTGTGTCATTGGGGCTTTACGACGCACTCAGCTGCTGAGGCTATGTGGCGTCGCCTGCCTTTCACCCTGGCAGGAAGGGCGGGCGCCGCGGGGAATCGAGCCCCGTACCTCAGGTTTCCATGACGCGTATTCCTTCAGTCTATTGACCATCAATTTGAGGCATGATGATCTTGCGTTAGCTTCTGTCTTCTGTTCCAGTTAGCCGAATGCCGAATTGGCCATATTCGTCTTCTTTTTTTTTTGGGGGGGGGGGCAGGGGGCTTTCATTATCAGGGGGCCCGTCGTCAACCCCGTGTGTACCTTGCCAAGAATCTGGCTGCGCCCCTGATGTAGTAACACTTTCGTGAGTAAACAGCAAGTACGGAAGTTAGGTTGTGTTTCCCGCTAGTTTAATTCATATGCTAAAACCATGTCATTTTGGGATGTGATGTGTCAGTTATGTATACATCTATCGTGGCACATAGATTACGTGAGGTTTGACTGATTTTAGCGACACAATGTTCTGCTGAAGGTTATCTTGCGTGTTTCTATTCACCCTGTGGCTCGCTTACTAAACTGTATACTCCACCAGTCATCTTACATGCAGAACATGTGCCAAGCATCCAGATCCATTCCCGCCACACAGCTTAAGATTAATGTAGATCATTGGGTAGACGACCCCATGTTTGGGGTCAGTAGTCCGTAGTCACACCATGCCGAGTGAAGGCCGACAGCGCGTCAGGCCCCCGCCTGCGCCGTGGGCAGCGGACCTACTGGCGGCGCCGACAGAGCGGTCGTGAGCTGTTGCCGGGTACGTCGGCGGGCGGCGGCCGCGGCCGCGCCGGTGGCCCACCGCTCCGGACGCCGCTCATTCCCGCGCCGAACCCACTGATGGGGCCCGCCCGACCCCGGCCGGCGCCGGCGCCGTCGGCCGCCGCCGCCGCCGCCGCCGCCGCCCGCTGTCGAGGAGTCGGCGGGCCGGGCTACCAGCGCAGCAGTGCTGGCCTCGACCGGTCACGTTCGTCGCGATCGAGCTCACTGCAAGAGCAGCGGGCCAGCAGCCTGCGGCTAGTTGCATAACGGCAGAGCTCAGCCTTGCACACCAGTTGCCACGCGCCCGGGTGGCCGGTTTTGAATACCTTTTGCTCGGGTGGGGGTCAATTTGACCCCTCTGAGGTCTCAAAAACTAAGATGGCTAAGGAAACTGAAACCACACGATGGGTTGGCCCGATGTGAACTAACTTGTGTCCAAATTTAAGGTTTCTAAGCCTTGACCTTGAGGTCAAATAAGTTCAAACAAAGTAAAACCCCAGATTGGTGTCAAAAGTGCACCCACACCTCCCATGCTACCGCCTAGATATCTCTTCCAAACAAAAGGTTATTGGTGTTTATTTGAGGTCAGTGACCCTGTTTGACCTTGACAATGTTATGGGGACCAGGAAACCGACGATATTGTTTTGATCTTGTTTAATTAGGGTTAATGATTAACCTAGGCAGTACGGCCACAAAAGGGTAGATCTGGGCAATTTTATGCCCAGTTACGTCAGTTATTAAGAACGTCTTCATAAAAAGAAAATTCGGATACGCATCAGAATCTACCCTATCCAACAAGCCTTCCAGTTAAAAAACACGTTTGTTTTGGCCTCCATCTGACCTTCATACCTGACCCCAGGCCAATGCACCTTGCTCTAATGCCATATTCAATTGCTTTATTGCTTAAACGACTATACCAAAGATGTCTGGCTCGGTCTAACACTCCGTTGTCGCATCAGATTGGGCTAGACATTGTCCTAGCTGACTGCCACAAACTGAATTTGACCTGCCATAGGCTAGTAAGTCTGCAAGGCTCGTCTAATTTTGTACATCAAAAGATTGGCCATTCTATTGGCTACAGCTACCGACAAGTTGGCGTGGCTTTGCCGCACCGTTAGAAAAGTATTTGACAAAAGCTTCGGGACGTCAAAATGACACCCACCCGAGCGCGTGTTAAGTTTTGTCTAGCCGTGTGGATTACTGAATATGAACACCGGCTTAAAAAGTTGAACAATTTCACAAGATATAACTGCATATGCTTACGCATACTATAACATACCTCATATTTTTGTTTAATCAGTACCTTCCATGTACTGAAGCTTGGTATTATCACCACGCAATGTCAAAAACCAGGAGCCTTTCCCCTATTGAGCCTTTCGTGCTGATATTAATCATATCTGTAAGGTGTTATGTTTCGTCTGCACACGCGTGCACTGGTTGGAGTCATCTTACCTACCGAACATGTTTGCCACGGCATCAGTGGAGATCAGCAGCGTCGGCTAGTCATCTGATTGGAATGCCAGCCATAGCTGTGATTATAACATCACAGTCGTTGCGCAGAGCATGCAGGCTCTCCCTTTGGGGTGTGGTGGATTGATATGTTTAAAGAGTAAAATAGCCGATGCATGCGTTTTGTCCAATACTCTGTTTGAGTGCGTATACGCTTGAAGAATTGCATTACATGGGTGTCGGAAAAAATAAGATTGATAAAAAGGTCTCAATGGCATAAAAAATGTGACTGAAGAAATATGTTCATTAGAGACCACTGCTGGTTTGTCCTAAGAGCTCCAAAAACTGTACAAACAAAACCCCTTAATTCACTGCTTTTCTTAACGTGAACAGGAAAGACCTAAGAAAAAAGGGCTCCCAGTTACCTGTACCAAATGACAAGGTATATTGCTGTCCCCGGCCCCGGTGACCTAGCTTAGGCGGAAACCGCCAACAGGACAGAACAAGACCTGAACCGCAAAGAGCACAGCACTGCGACACTTGGTGAAAAGCATGTACACCGCACAGGCAAGCTGTACAAAAGTACGCTATGAAAGACTCATAAATCAGCCTTTGATGCACACTATTCTTACAACTTGCGTCTCATGCCACGCAGCCACCACAGACACCAGCCGCCTAGTTGCTCCTACGTCTGTTGGATCCCCTGACCCCAATGCAACTGGCGATCCGCCAGGCCTTAGTGTGTGCGCTTCAGGCGTCAGGTGTAAGCGCCTCGGCCGCCGGTGCCAGCGCGTGCCGGCACCGGTCCAGGGTCCAGAGTCGTAGCAGCCACGCGCCGCGTCCGTCCCAGCCTTACCGAGCAGTGCGCTGTCCTCTGCTGCCAGCAGCTTCTTGAGGCGGCGCAGCACCATCTCTGAAACGGGGCGGCGGCGGCGGCGGCGGCGGCGGCGGGGGCGGGGACGGGCGCGCCGTACACAGTCCCACACCGCACCAAGCTCCGACGGCTACTGGCGCCGGCGACGCGGTCCCAGCTCACTACAGGGTCGGCCGTGGACGTGTTGTGGGCGGGGCGGCACGGCTCCGGCCGCCGGCGCCGGTGGCTCACCCCGGAACGGCCCGGGGCGCCGCCGCAGCACCTGGCGTAGTCGCAGCAGCCGTGCTGTCGGCAGCACAGCTCCGGCCACCGGCGCCGGTGGCTCACCCCGGAACGGTCCGGGGCGCTTCCGCGACACCTGGCGTAGTCGCAGCAGCCGTGCTGTCGGCAGCACGCGCACCGTGGCAGACTGCTGTCTATGCTGTATATGCTGTGATTCCCGACATATGCACAAAGTCTGGTGTGGCCACGCCTCACCAGACGGAAATTATCTCAGAAAAGTCTTTATAGGGGAAGAGTAAGTAGTAAGTAAGTAGACCCACGGCTAAGCGCGTGTTAACACTATTCCATCAGTTTACGATGAACTAGTTAAGCTAATGACACGACAGCTTCAGTCAGCTTAACACTCTTTCGGAACAAAGCCCATAGATACGAATAGGTGAGGGGAGTGATCACTACCCCATTTTCGTCGAAGCTGGAAGTGTTTGCTGCACCGGTGTTTTCTTTCCTCCTGGGGTGCCAGGGGGCTGGTTGTCATCTGAAAAAATTGGCTTGCAGATAGAGCTCCACCACTGGAAGTCACGCATCCCTGTCCGTGGCACATCATTGCAACGTTTCTCCTGTTCTGACCGGGTATCCTGACAGCCAAGGATCAGGTCGGCATTAAAACCGCACAATTCATGCCGAATGCATATTCAGCTAACGCAAACAAACCGTCTACACAATTTAACACTTCCTTTCATGCCCTGTTATGCGTTCAGGCTCGCTGATTATGGAGACGAGCGCACGAGCACTTTTCACGAGTACGAGTCTCATTTCACGGAACGTCGTGCCAGAATCAAATTGCAGGATTTTTTTCCCCGGTTAAACGTTAGACGTACGAGCTAAAATTGCAGGAGTCACTGAATGTTGCAATGCTGACAAGATGTGCATGCGTACAGTGCGCGTGGGCGTGCGCATGCGCGTCTCAGGACAATGCATAGCTGCAAGTTTCTTGGCGGCGCGGGCACCGAACAGCAGGTGGCATGTAACTCAATTGTGCGTTTTTAGATGTCCGTCAAATCAGCGCCGTAGTTGTGTTCATATTCAGCATCGAGCTCAAATTTCTACCAGATTTCTCCCTTTGACTGACCTTATCGAGTTATTCATGATAGGAATAATTATATATCATATGAATCATATGTAATGATCAAATGAATCATATGTAATGATCATATGAATCATATGCAATGATCACATGAATACATGATAGGAACGAGGAATAAGGTTATTTCTACTGCCTTCTCGACATGCGCAATGTTTCTCGCAAGTGCACTTAACGGCCTACGCAAAATCGGCACCATGTTAGTGCTAATAACGTCCACTTTCGTCACAACTTCGAAAATTATACATCAAGCTCAAAGGTTAAGCTCACGTCGGACGGGGTAAACTAGCAGTTCTTTGTTTATGCAACAATTACAACAAAAGCGCTACATCACGCATTACGATGACACACGTTCTCTTACATTTTTTTTGTTGGTAAACGAATGCACGTCACTGTACCACGTTGTGCGTAACGTTTGTCTCTAACGTTGGGAGTTAGTTTTTGCAAGTGCGATGAAATAGGACATCATAAGCATCATTATGACACCCTTTTGTGACGACAACTTCACAAACGAAAAACTCCACGGCACCCGTCTTACGTGACCTTAACCTTTGGCCTTGGGAGATACTCTTTGGAGATGTGACAAAAGCAGACTTTAATAACATTGACATGATATCAACTGTGTTGCCATTGTTTGGTGATCGAAAACATGTCATGGTACCCGTTTTGCGTGACCCTGACCTTCAACCTTTGATCAGTCTTTGCATGTGTCTGGACTTTGGACATCTTTAGCATCACTTCAATGCTCATTTCTTCGGATTTTTTTGATGAACAAAGTAGTGCCAAGATATCCCTGTTTTGACTTTTCAATGACCGGTATGGGTCAAACTAAGTAACTTAGATAAAATGATTGCATATTCGTGAATAACTCGATGAGGATGACCCATTAGACAAATTAGGTGGAAACGTGAGCTCGACGTTGAATTCGAATACGATTACAACGCTAGCACACCGGGCATCGTGTTTAGCCCATTGGTTTTGAGTGGGGGGCCTGAAGATGCTACTCGCTGAAACGGGCAACTGGCCTTTCGAAATGGTGGCCGCGTTCGGCAACAACAGACCGCAACAACAAGAAATTGAAGAAAAGCGATTCGCCACAGATCCAAACGGGGGTTGACGCGCTGTTTCAGCTGCAACTGTGTCTGTGACGGGTCACGCGTGCCGAAACGGTCAAGAAGGATTTGCCTAGTTTTGACGGTTTTTGCACATTATGTTATATCTTGGTAGCCAGAGCAGGTAACAGCATGAACCCAATTTCAAGCGTCGACTTATGTACCTAAGCAAAGTTGTGGAGCCAGCACAACTTAATGCAATGCACGGCTGCGCCATAAAACGTCGAGCAAGCCGGAAATGCAATATTTCGAAAACTTGTGCCGCATACGACACGCCGACACCAAAACTGTCGCCAGAGTCGCGGCGAAATTAACAGTCTTGTCCTCCCCTTTTGATTCCCTTTATTTGCCCACCCTTACCTTCATGGTTTGCTCTGACTCGCCCGCAAACCAGCGCTCGCGAAAGGGTTACAAGGTCAAGTGGCTGCAATGTTAGAACACGATCTCCCAGTCGTCGCCGGCGAGATAACTGTACTCCCTGCGGGCTCTGATATTTACATTGAGTCGCGGGGAGGGGCAGACCTCCCCCCACCCCTCCCCCCGTCGGACGTACGGACGGACTCGGGAGGGCCACCAGTTTGAAAGCTGCTGTCGCGTGGTCGCGTGGTAAAGGTTTTCTGACGTGCTCATGGATGGGTCCTGAGAACTGAGTTGTTTCCAGACCGATACTTTGGAATGTGGCCGCATCGATAACTCTTTGCACGACCTCAGGCCGGGAATTTATGGAATTCAACTGTGTTAGGTTCTGGGAGCTGAGCGGGCTGCGGGGGCTCATTTTGGAATTGGAATAAAATGAGAGGGGTAGTTTTGCGAACAAAATGGGAGGGGGGCAGCGAAAAAATGACGAGACATTCCCCGAAAATATGCCATGAAACGTGTCTGAAATTTGGGTTATATAATCCTTGGAATCTGACCAATTTTCTTCTTAAGAATTAAAGGCGGAAACTCAAATTGGAGGGAAGGAGGTTTGAAGCCTCTCCCCTCAATGAACTGGAAACTACACTTTTGGTTAACACTGATAACCATTGACCTGACCTAGGGCCAACATTTCTGGAACTGCAAAAGGTGCTATGGCACATCGAATTCTCAATATTTTGTGATGAATGCACTAAAAGCATCCGGCAACTGATCTGTCAGGCCAGCAGCATCGCTAAAGGCATAAAGGCTAAAGGCAAAGGCAAAGGCAAAGGCAAGTTAATAATTTTATTCTACTTTATCAATGTTCAAATGGCATGCATGCAAGCATCATGTGTTTTCCAAGCCAAAACCGGAGCTAAAACCACGCAGGCATTGCCAGGCTGTCGGGTGGTATTCGTGACTGGGACTGGTGCTTCTGCGGTCAGTCAGTTGAGCCTCTGCGGTCAGTCAAAGCGTCTCGAGACGCCGGCGGGTCCGTCCCGCGCGTCTGGGGGCGGTCAGGTGGCGCCACCGTCACCGGCGTGGGTCGCGGCGCAGCGCCGGGAAGGTCGGCACCGCCCCTGCCAGCGCCGGCTGGAAGGGTACGAAGACTGACGCGCGCGCCATGGGTACGCGACGAAGGCGCTGGCACGTGCCCAGGGGCGAGGTCGGGATTTCGAGGGGAGAGGAGCCCGGTGGCGTGGTATTGAACATCGAAATCGGTCGCGATGCCAACGTCGGTTTACGCCTGGCCGGGCCCTTAGCTGTGCGGCAGCGGAAGACCACCTGACACTCGGACGCGCTGCCCGACAGGCGCGCGGCTGACAGCTCTGGCAGACTTGCGGTGCTTAACTCTCAGGTGCGATCTCACTGGACTGACCTAGCTCTCAGCGATCAGTACCGCGGGCCAGAGGTCACTAGCGGCTGTCGCTTGCCGGCTGACAAGGAGACCAAGGGGCGCCTCCCACATAGCCGGCGGCGCATCACAAGAGGGCACGAGAGAGGAGTGCACACGCTCCCCTCGAGAGGGGACGATAGGCCTCTATGTTCCCAGCAGACCTCAATGAGATAAAAGAACACCTAAACCGTGAATGATTGGGCAGGCAGGTGCCCGCGCGCCGTGACCTTGGTGAGCTGCCCACAACACCCAGTTGACTGCAGTGAAATTAGGTCGTGCTCCTTGTTTTGCAGGCTGTTTTCAGCTGTTTGAGAACAAAATATCCGTACCATCTACTCCGACTTTTAAAGAACAAGTGTCCGGTGCCTTAAAGCTCAGGAGATGAACCCACCTCGAGTTTGACGGTTCTAAAACAACCCGAGTGTCAGCCAGTTCGTCGCTACATTCCGGCACTTGCACGGGACGCAGCAGGAACATCACGGGGCTGGATCCCAATCCATTCTGGCCATGGGTCACAGTCACAGTCGGCGGGGTGCCGATAGTACGTGTAACACCAACAGCACCGAGGTGCTCGACATACTGGGCGATCACGACTACCGACCGGGGCCGTCCTTTGTGATCGCCAATGCCGTTTGTTGCATCGCCGTGTTCGTCGCCCGAAGGGCACTGGACAGAGCAGGCTGCGCCACCTACCATTAAGCACTGGTGAGCGTTCGGGAGTTATACGACCCACATCCTTATGTCACAGTCTGTGGTTAAAAAACAGCGGTTGGCTGATCAATTTCTCCCCAGCAGCAAAGAGGTGGTCCTGAGTGCTGGGAAGGAGCTCCGC